GTCCCTCTCCAGCTCTCCTGGAGCTCCTTTAGGCACTGGAAGGGGCTCTCAGGTCTCCCTGGAACCTTCTCTTCTCCAGGTGAACTCCCTCAGCTCTCCCAGCCTGGCTCCATGGCAGAGGAGCTCCAGCCCTTGGAGCATCTCCATGTCCTCCTCTGGACTCTACAACTCATTCATCAGTGGGATATTGAGAACATTGACATGTGAGAGGGACCAACTGGATGATGTCTGTGGCCCAGGAGGAAAGGAAATCTCCAATCCACTTGCAAGTCCAGTGGACATCATAGTATTGACAGCCCTCCTCATCAGGGATGTCCTTTATGGTTCAGGTCTGGAGAACCTCGGCTGGACCATGAGCAGAGGAACAGCTGAGGGTGAACAGAGGACACCAGAAGAGTTTAGGCTCTTAACCTTCGCAGAAAACAATTCCTGTTCCCTTGCACGTGCCTTTCCACTAATAAATTTTGACACAAGGAGGTCAAGTGTTCTTTACTGTGGTACAGTTTAAGGGAACTTGGGCAAGCAGCTTCCTAGAGCCCACACTCACACTGGTCCTTTCCTGCCAGCAGCCTTGACTTCTGCATGTACAGATTTGTCTTTTAAAAGGGGGGATTGCCCGAGAATTTCTTCTCCTTTGCTGCAGTCCTGCCAGTGGTTGGTACTTGATGGGCTGAAGGAAAAAGGGAATGCTCATTGAATAACAGCCATTACTTAAAATAAAAGTATTTAGTCCTCCTAAAGGGGAGCAGCAACGGAGCTGAAGGGTTCTGGGGCAGTGTCTTGTTCATCTCCTTGCACTGGAGCAGTTTTAAGGCTTTTTTCCCTTGAGGGATTTTCACAGGTTCCAATTTTTGTGATGAATCCAACGCACCTACTCAGGGTATAATTTCATTCAGGGAAATTGCTTTAAGCAGCACTTCGACTTTAAATATTGGATATTCTTCTAGGGGAAAGTGTCTCTGCCCATGGCAGGGTGTTGGAATGACATGATCTTTAAGGTAACTTCCACCCCAAACCATCCTTTGATTCTGTGAAATCTCACAGCTCCAGTGGGAATTAATTTAAGCACACGTTATTCCTAACAGGTGTGATTTTCTCAACAATATCCTCCCCTAAAAAAGGCCAAAATCTCTCCTGTAAGCCCACATGTAACAAACAGGGAGTAAGAAACTGTGATTACCTGGTTTCCCATCCTGAATCAGCGGCTTTAAAACCCTCTTTCATGTCTTGCAGCTTAACAAACCATGAGAAGCTTATCTCATTACAGAAACCAAAGTGGGGGGGGGGGGAAATAATTTAAGGGAATGTTGTGAGCCCTGGCAGGTTTACAAGAGGAACCTGAAGGGATGGGATGTGTAACTTGAAAAAAAAACACAAAAAACCCCAAACCACAAAGCCTGTCATTTTAAATGGCTCATATGAATCTGAAACCTTCAATTATGGTATTAAAAACCTCTTCTTCCTTCTGAAAGCTGTTTCTTTTTCCATGGGCAGCCCCAAGGCCTGTCAGGGAGGAGGTTCCCAGGTAGCAGAGCATGGAAGGGGTTGGGAATGGGGGGTTAATGGGCGCCTTGGGCAGCCCCAGCCACCGGAGCAGGGATCAGGCAGGAGTCAAACACTGAGATAAATGGCTTTGGACAAAAAACTGAGTGCAAACCAAAACCTGGAGGGGCTACAAAATAAAGATAAGCCCAAGATGATTGAAGAATCAATTTATCTCCCTGTCAGCAACGTCTGTGCAGCTCAGTGTGGATATAACACTTATTTTTGTACCAAAACAGCTTTTATACTACCTGGAGTCACACTTACAGGAAAGGGCATTTTTTCCCCAAACAACTTCCTTGTGTGATTTTTTTTTTGTTTCTTTGACAGTGCTTTTCTTTCAGACACTACACAGAGTGTAGTTGAAGGGGCTAAAGATGAACTGTGAGTTCTTCTTGCTCCTGTTTTAAGTGTTACAAGGTCTGAGCAAATCCTTTTTTTACAGAAATCTCACCTAAACACGTGGGCACCGTAAAGAGCTTTTAAATAGCCAATAATTACATTCAAACTGTAGGAAAATTGTCTTAATACAAAGGAGAAGCTCCAGGGTAGAGTTCAAAGACATTTCATAAAATGCCTGATAAAATATATTGATCTTTCACCACACGCTTCAAGGCAAAAAAATCCCAGCTAGAAATGAACAGCAAAAAACTAAGTTTATTTTTAAAATAGTCTATGCTGATCATCTGCTGTGAAGAGACCAGAAAACCTCACTAGTGATTAAATGCCTTCACGTGGAATGGTTTTGCATTGGCTTTTCTTAGTCTGAAGAAAAACTCATAACTTCATCTTAGCAAGCCTTGAGTATCTTAGGGCTCAGCATGAGCAGCAACACTTTGCAAGCTTAGCCCAGAATGAGAATAAAATAAAATAAAATAAAATAATAAAATAGAGTTCTGACAAAACCTGACAGTTGCAAATGAACTAGGCTGTTAACAGAGATAATAGTAAGAAATCCTTCAGCAAGTCCAGGAGAAATCACCCTGAAAAAAAAAAAAAAAATCTTCCTTTTTTCCGTGTGGTTATACAGGTGATCAGTATTGTCCTTAAAAGAAGGAAAAATATTGCTAATTTGTGTTGCCATTTTGAAAGAAAAATCAGTGAAAAAAACCCCATGTTAATCCTTTTTGGTAGACAGGATGTTGGGCTTTTAAATGCTATTGTAAGCAGGATTAGAGTGGTTTTTGTCCCTATTGCTTCCATATGATCTTGGAGCCAATACCAGAGAGTGTTTTTATTATAATTCAATTTTCCCCCTACTTCACGATACCATTTCTCCTCGAACACCCCTAGTTTTGCAGTATTTCATTCAGCACTCACTGAAAACGGTCCCCACCACGAGTTCCCTGCTCTTGGAGGCAGCTCAGAACATTGTTCAGAGCAGCTCAGCACCTCCAAGGGCCCCTGAGCAGAGTGGGCTTGGCAATTTTGGGTGCCTGCATCCCAGAATGGATTGGGTTGGAAGGGACCTTAAAGATCATCCAGTTCCACACCTTCCACTAGCCCAGATGGCTCCAAGCCCCATCCAATCCAGCCTTGGACACTTCCAGGGATTGGGCAGCCACAGCTTCTCTGGGCAGCCTGTGCCAGGGACACAATCCCAAGGAAGCAGATACACCAGACAGGGATGATTTGCTACAATTTACAAGATGAGTCATTCACATCCAACCTGCTTCCACTCTGTATTTGTCCATGTTTTTTCTACAAGCCTAGAATTGCCACCTCCTGCAGCATGGAACTGCAGACAACTCCCAAAAAGCGTGAGTTTCCTGTTTGTTTGTTTGTTTGTTTTTTTTTATGTAACAAATACAGACACCTTGCTCTCCCTTGCTGACTCCAAGGCAGTGACTGGAATGTGGAAACCTTATTATGTATTGATTTCCCCCACACAGTACAGCCGTAGAAAATGTATCGGTCCCTGTTCTGTCTTGCCAACAAAAAAAATCCTGGGAAGCAGTGTTGTCATCCAGAGAAGCACAGGAAAGTCGTGGTGCTTAACAAGGATGAATCACATGCAAGTATTGGAGTGGATGGAAAATTGAATCAAAAGTAGAAATAAATTTGATTTATCACATCCTGTTTGCATTTATTATGGGCTCCTCCTAAGTGATAATCACTCTAAAAATAGAGATTTATTGCTTTTGCAACTAGATTTGAATATAACTAAGACTAAAGTACAAGGAATTAAACCCAGGAAAATAATTCACGGACTAATTGCTGAAGAAATTAAACCTCCATCTCTCTTTTCCAGTAACTGTCTGCCTTTCCCTGCCCAGCCAGAGAGCACTGCAAGGATAGACCCCATGTGTTTTTTTGGGAATGTGCCATGAGACTCCTTTTCCATTCCTCCAAGTTAATCCAGCGGACACCCCACGGGCACCCTTTGCACGCAACGAAAATCCCCTTCACCCCTGTGAGCCAGAGGTTATTCTGCACTGCCAAGCTTTGTCCAGCCCTTTTTGGGAGGAAAACCTGCCAGGGATGGTGAGAGATGAGTGGTTGATCTTTGTGAAGACAGTTATTGTGTGCTAAGAGTAGAGGTGAACCCTCCAAGTTGCTTGGTTTCAGACCTGAAGCTGGGCTTAAACCACGGCCCAAGAATTAAAATGTTCAGCTCATCACCTGCCAGCCACCAGCCACTGATTAACCTTGCATCCCAAAACATGATTTATGAGTGTTTGCCAGCCCCTTCTCTTTCTTATACAGGCCAAAGTGTTGCTCTAGAGTAAAGAAATCATCAAAATTATTATGTTGGATAAAGGAACAGCCTAAATTCTCACTTCCATGGGTTCATCCTTGAATATTGAACCAAGGCTGTTGTTTTCTTGCCAGTGCTGCAGCTGCCCCTGTGACCAGCACAGCAATAGGGAGGAGCTTCCATAACTATGGTATTTCCTGAGCTTTTCCAAAATGCATTAATATAAGTCCAATTCTCCAGTGAAATGAACCCTGAACACAATTTATTGGTCTCTTTGGGTACTCCCTCAACTAGTGAAGCCTTTTCAACCCTGCTTACAGTTTATTGCAGGAGAAAACAGTGAAAAGATGCTGTTTCCTTGATGCTACCCCCATCCCTGCAGAGCTGACGCCACAGGAGGCACCAGTTTGCTCTAAACTCCAGCAGGAGTTACAGAATTGAATCACAGAATATGCTGAGATGGAAGGGACCCATCAGGATCACCGAGCCCAGCTCTTGGCCCTGCACAGCACACCCAAAGGATCCCTCCACTGGATTTCTAATGTATCTGAGATCAGGAGACATCCAAAATTACATCTGACTGCAAGAGCACCCTGTGCTCTTACTCATGTTTGACTTCTTGAGCTCACACAGACATGGCATAACAGTGATAAGTCATCCAGGGTGTGGGTGGCAGCAGGGTGTGTGTCACAGGCTGCTGGAGCATTACACACTTAGGGACACTTCATTTTTGACATCTGATCGAACTCCCTCTGTGAAAAGGCCCAGCTCCTCAGCCCTTCTGCATTTCCAGTGTGGACAGGTTTCCTTGGAACCCCATCCAAGCTCCTGTGTTGGCTCCCTGTTGTCAGACACCCTCCTGAGGAACCCACCCCAGTGAGGCTATTTCTGGGCTTCCAGGGGAACCTGACCTAAGCAAGGCTGGACCACAGATCCCACCCATCCCAGCATCCCATCACCCTTTTCCACTAAAGCCTTCACTGCCCAATTAGCCCAGAGCCTCATTCCCTGATGCAGTTCTTCCCTCCAGCCATGTTTTTGCTTACAGGGATTGCAACTTCCCTGCTCCATTTGACTGATTTATTTAAAAAAAAAAAAATCTGCTTTTCTTTCCAACACACAAAAATAGAATTAGAGAACAGCAGAAGCACAAAGAAATACAAATGATGGCCTCCATGTACACATTGAATCATCACCTTAAACAGTCCCTGAAGAAAGGTTCTGGCAGTGGAGTGGGATCCTTGCACTGAGCTGTCCATGGATTTCCCCAAAGCAGGACCCAGGTGAGCTAATATAAAGGCTATTCTGGGATAACTTGAAGCACCTGCAGCCTCCTGGGGTTCTCATTTTTGTGTTTTCCTGCATTTCCAGGGTCCTACAATGGGATATTGTCCCGGGAGAAACAGTCTCAAGGTGAAAATACAGAGCTCAGCCTGTAAAGTTGGACCTTGAACTTTGTATCCTGAAGCAGAAGAAAACGAGGGTTGAGTGAAATAATTTCTTGCCCAGCTCTGAGGTTCAGTGTCTTCACTGTGTTTTAGAAAGGCTCCTCTGGCTCTTCCAGGGGTTTCTCCATCCTTCCTCTGTAAAAGTGTGTGCCCAGGCCTCGGAGAATGAATATCACAATCCAAAGGCAGCTTGACCCCTCTGATAGGATCCTACTCACTTTAAAAAGGAAACAAGAGTTATAATTTAAATGTCTTCTTACTCAATATCCCTGGAAAATAATAACATGAACAAAGAGATTCTGTCTGAAATATTTTAAAGGGTGTTTCAGAACAGTGATTTCTCTCATGTAAAAGTGATTTTTTTCTTGTATGAAGCTTTTCTTTTGAATAGGGAAGTAATAAACAATAAATTTATCTACATAAACCTACACAGGATATTGACTGATAAGAGTTCAGTTTCCTCTTTCCTTCACTCCAGATCTACTAAAGTTGGATATTTGTAAACCAGATGCTTTGTAATACACTTTATTACATTTGGGGTCAAGAAAAACTTGGCTTGTATAGGTGAATCTTCACTTCCATCAGGAGCCTGAATCTCTGAAATGCTTTAGGTTCTTAGTTTATGTGGCATTTTTTTGTGAAACTTGTTTTGTGGACCCATTATAATGCACAAAAATATTTGTATTATACAGATTTCTATTTGGGGTTATTTTCCTGTAAGAAACAACAACAATATTTTTAGCTTTTTATTTAAGAAAGATGTATTTTGGTCATAAATGGGGAAGAGCCAGGAAGAGACAGAGAGCCGGGAAGGAAAGGCAGGAGTTTATATTTGTTTTCTTCAAAAAACAAGAGGAAAACAAAACCAAGGAGCAGGCACCAGGTATTAATAAGCAAAGGTGGGGTTGACCAAATTCCTCACATTTAAAGCATTAAATAAAAAGCTCAAACCTCACCACCGTGACTGCAGCCCGTTGGTGTCACGTTGCATTTTCCCAAAGCTTCCTAAAAAATGCTTTTATGAGATGCTGTGGATAAATCTGAGGTGTTTTCCATGGCAGCCTCAAGCAGAGGTGCCTTGGGAAGCCGTAGGGTGTGTGAGGGGCTGTGCTGGGGGCAGAGCCCCAGGGGGGCACAGGAACACCCACACCACAGGCCACCAGCTCCCCACAGGACATGGGCAAAGGTATGAGCAGGAAAACCAGCAATTAAGAAGCTCCTCAGCAGGGACCTGGCTTAATTTGAGATGCTTGATTAAATCTGGAATTCTCTGTACAAGTTCTGTCAGCTCCATGGGCTGACACAAAGATGAGCTTGTGTTTTGGGGGAAAAAAAAGGGGGTTTATTTAGGAACACTGCAGGGCATGGAGGGCTGGGTGAGCTGTATGCCAGCATGGTATTCCCTGGGAGGAGGGCCTGGGGAGAGGGCACATCCCTCTGGCTCTGTCATAGAACCAGTTACAGAATGGTTGGGTTGGAAGCCTCAAAGCCCATCCAGTCCCAACCCTCTGCCATGGGCAGGGACACCTTCCACTAGCCCAGGTTGCTCCAAGCCCTGTCCAACCTGGCCTTGGACACTTCCAGGGATGGGGCGGCCACAGCTTCTCTGGGCAACCTGTGCCAGGGCCTCCCCACCCTCACAGCCAACAATTAGTCTCCAGTATCCCCTCTAACCCTGCCCTCTGGTACTGGGAAGACATTCCCCCTCGCCTGTCCCTCCAGGTCCTTTACCCAAGTCCCTCTCCAGCTCTCTTGGCACCACTTTATGCACTGGAAGGGACTCTAAGGTGTCCCTGAATTCTTCTCTTCTCCAGGCTGAACAGTCCCAGCCTGTCTCTTTGGAGCATCTCCTGGCATATCTGGGACATCCAGACTTGAAACCCATCACTTACCTTCCTGAACAGAGCCAGGAGGGCTGTGACTGGCAGGGAACTCTGCTTTACTCCTGGCCATGGACAGGTGAGAAAACCACACTGGACACCTGCATGGCAGGAGGTTAAAGCCTTTCCAAGGTGGTGGGAAGAGACAGTGAAAAAAGGAGGGAAAGCGGCATCCACAGCCAGCCCTGCGGGCAGCACCCGCACCCATCCCGTCCTCCTGCACCTCCCTGTAATAATCATCGATTTTATATAAAAACTTACATTTACACCTTACAAAAATACTCCTCTCTCGTGCCTCAGCGCACCTGGGTGAGCCCGGGGGGCTCCAGTCAGGGCTGGCCCCCGGCGCGGCCATACAGGGTGGCATCGGGGCCAGGGGGACACGCCACCCCCGCGCCCCCGCCGCTGCCCCCGGCCGCCTCCGCCGCTCCAGCCCCCTCCGCCCGCCGCCTCCTCCTCCTCCTGAAATTCCCGTTATCGAACATCTTCTCGCAGTTGGGGTCGAGGGTCCAGTAGTTGCCTTTGCCTGCGGAGAGAGGAGAATCCGTCGGGGCTCCAGCCGTCCGGGGGGAGTCCTGTCGGGTGCCCACCCCGGTGCCCTTCACAGAATCACAGAATCCACGAGGTTGGGAAAGACCTCCGGGATCATCGAGCCCAATCTCTGACCCGACACCACCTTCTCCGCTAAACCGCGGCACTGAGCGCCGCATCCAAGATCGTCGAGTCCACCCTGTGCCCGATCCCCACCTTGTCACCCCGCCCAGAGCCCTGAGTGCCACGTCCAGTCGCTCCTCGGACACCTCCAGGGACGGTCACTCCAACACCTCCCTGGGCAGCCCCTTGCAGTGCCCAAACGCTCTCTTTCCAAAGAATTCCTTCCTAAACCTCCTCTGGCCCAGCCTAAGCCTGTTCCTTCTTGCCCTAAGTCTGTGCCCTCTCCTGCTTACCCGGGTCATCCTGGTCCCGCGGCACCTTCCTGAAGCAGTCGTTGAGGGAGAGGTTGTGTCGGATGGAGTTCTGCCAGCCGGCCCTGCCGCGCCGGTAGAAGGGGAAATTCTCTGCCACGAACTGGTAGATCTGGCTGAGGGTGCGGCGGCGGCCGGGCGCGCTGTGCAGGGCCATGGCGATCAGCGCCGAGTACGAGTAGGGCGGCCGGGCCGGGGACAGCGGGGACAAGGGGGACATCCCCGGCCACCCCCGGCCCGCGGGGCCCGGCGGCAGCACCGCCCCGGCGGGCGGGCACGGGGAGCAGGGGCCGCCCGGCCACGGGGAAGGGCTGGCGGCGGGATGCGGGGAGGGACGGGGAGCCGGGAAGGGAGCGGAGCATCCCGCGGCCTCCAGCAGCTCCCGGGAGAGCGGCGGCGCGGGGGGCGGCCCGAAGGGGTGCATGGTTCGGGGGGCAGCGCCGAGCCCGACCGACACCCCGCTTAAGTACCGCCTAAGGACCGCTTAAGGACCGCCCGAGGGACCCCCTCCCGCCCCTCGGCCCCAGCACGGCCCGCCCCGCAGAGCCGGGAAGGTGCGGGGGCAGCGGGATCGGAGCACACGGAGGGGAGGGGGGGGATGGGGAGATGGGGGGAGGGTTTCCTGGGGAAGCGGCGAGGATTTGGGAGTAACAGGTGGGTGGGAGCTGAGCACAGGAAGGACGTGCACCTGTTGGAGCAAGTTCAGAAGAGGCACCGAGGTGATCAGGAGGATGGAGCAGCTCCGCTGGGAGGGAGAACTGGTGTTGTTCAGCCTGGAACAGAGAAGGCTTTGGGGTGACCCAACTGAGGCCCTCCAGAATCTGAAACGAGCCCACAAGAAAGATGGGGAGAAACTATTTACAATTGCTTGGAGTGATAGGACAAGGGAGAATGGCTTCACGCTGACAGAGGGTAGGTTTATATAGGCTATTGTGAAGAAATTCTTCCTTGTGAGGGTGGTGATGCCCTGGCACAGGTTGCCCAGAGAAGCTGTGGCTGCCCTATCCCTGGAAGTATCCACGACCAGGCTGGATGAGGCTTGGAGCGACCTGGTCTAGTGGAAAGTGTCGCTTCCTAAGGCAAAGGCTGGAACAACATGACCTTAAGATCCCTTCCAACCCAAACTATTCTAGGATTCTATGAATTTGGGAAAAACAGACCCAGCTGATCCCACTTTCTGTATTCTTCCAATCTAGTGAACAAACTCTCATAGCCCCAAGAGCCTCATCCTGTAGCAAGGAAAAGGGATAAAGGTGAGCAAACACATATGCACATTGCAAGATCAAAAAGAGCCTTCATACCACTGGCAGGGTATTCATCTAAATATCAGTTACTTCAGGCTTATTTATAGAAGATCTACCTTCAAATCTCAAAAGCGTGAGGGGAGATATTCCTTCCATTTCAATGAAAATAATTCAGGAAACAACCTGATCCCTAACATTACCGTTATTTAATTTCCCTGCTGTCAATGATTACCTGGAGACATCCAGCAGCAAATTTACCTCCAGGTATCACCAGCCTGGCTGCCTGTGGATGCTGCTGTTTTGTTTTCCATGGCATTGCTTGTCTCTGTGCCAGGGAAAGGTGTAACTTGTGTTTGTATCCGTCAGGTTGAAGCAGAGCAGCAGAGTGATATTATTTGTGTTAGTTTAGTGCCTCGTGGCAAACTTCATGTGGGTTGGCTGCATTTTTGTGTAAGTTGTAGACATGTACCATGCAAATAAGGGGATTTGTTTCATATATTTTCCAAACATACCAATTTGCAAGCCCACAGAGAGCTCATTAAATTGTCCCCTTCTCAGCTGAGCTGACACCCGAGGACACAAAACCACGTATTTGTTAATGCTGACTCCTTTTTGCTTTGCAGAAACCCTTTTACTAGAAAGCAGCAATCCCTGGTAAACATCCAAACATACTTTAATGCCTTGATGATATTCTAACCCACAGGAAAGATACTTCTTGTTACAGAATGTGGAGCCTTTTACAACCTTTTTTTCTGTTTCTTTAGCGTTTCACTTGGATTCATAAGGTGAGGAACGTGTCAAGGTGGCATGAGGGGAGACCTCATTGCGGTGCAACTTCCTCAGGAGGGGCAGAGGAGGGGCAGGCACTGAGCTCTGCTCTGGGGGGACCAGGGACAGGACCCAGGGAATGGCTGGAGTTGTGTCAGGGCAGGTTTAGGTTGGATCTCAGGGAAAGGTTCTTCCCCCAGAGGGTGGTTGGCACTGAACAGGCTCCCCAGGGCAGTGGGCACAGCCCCAAGGCTGACAGAGCTCCAGGAGTGTTTGGATGATGCTCTCAGGGACAGGGTGTGACTCTTGGGGATGATCCTGTGCAGGGCTGAGGGTTGGACTGAATGATCCTTGTGGGTCCCTTCCAACACGGCATATTCTGTGATTCTGGGCACAAGCTGTGCTATGGCTTTGGCAAGTCTCTGATACACTTTTTAAACGCTGCAGTCGCTTAACGAGACCTTTTCCAGCATCTCTTCCATCCTCGCGTCCTTCACCTCCCGGGAGATGCGCTCGTTCCCAGCGGTGCCCGACAAACAGCGCGAGTCGTCTGAGGAGCGGGATTTGGAGCTCAGGGAGCGCCGCTGAGTTATCCCGGCGTCATTCCCAGGGAAAAGCAGGTGGTTTTAGTCAATCGCGGGCCGGCGATGCCATCTAGTGGCTCCGGGACCGGCTCCGGGAACTGCGGGGTGTCCGCTCCCCCCTCCTCCTGCTGCGGGCACCGATCCCGCCCTTCTGTGCCGTAAAGCCCCAAAACTGGGATGCGTTAGCGAGCCAGCAGGACAGACAGACGGATTTCTAACCAACACTGGGTTGGAAGGGAGTTCAAAGCCCAACCATTCCCACCCCTGCCATGGGCAGGGACACCTTCCTCTATTCCAGGTTTTTCCAAGCCCTGTCCAACCCGGCCTTGGACACTTCCAGGGATGGGGCAGCCACAGCTTCTCTGGGCAACCTGTGCCAGGGCCTCCCCACCCTCACAGGGAAGGATTTCTTCCCGATATCCCACCTACCTGTCAGTGCCAAGCCATTCCCACTTGTCCTGTCCCTACATGTCCTTGTCAAAAGTCTCTCCAGCTTTCAATTATTTATCTCCAGCCTCAATTATTTATCGCTACAAGTCTATCTGAGACCCTGCATTTTATGAAAATGTCCTGGCAAAGGAAAGGAATTGCAGGCAGCTCAGTTCTCCCTCATAGTACTATCCCTCATGGATTTGCTCCTCTGCATCAGGTGGGAATAAATTCCCTGTTCATTCCTCTACTCAAAAGAATTACACTAAACCTGAAGGAGTGAAGTTTACAGAGGCTGTTTGGGAGATTTAAACACAATAATTCACCTCAACAAAGCATTCAGTACTTTCCTGATGAAGCAGATTGAAATGTGGGTGTTTTGCACCAAAAGCATCAGTTTGATTTCTCTGGAAAGTATGTTGGAACAAACCCCCATCATTTCAAATAAGAAGTAGTAGAGAGTGAAATACAAACACATGGTGAGAAAGAACAACCAAGGCATCTAAAATGAGGAGTTTATCAAAACAGAAATACAGAAAATACCATGAATAGAAATCCAGATATTATTTTGACTTCAATACAACCATGTTTACTTGGTATAACAATTATTAGTAAATAAATAAATATTAGAAGCAGTTTTCAGGTCAATAATAACAATAATTAGGTAACAAATGGACATTTTCAAGGTCAATCAGTCTGTGGCAATTAATCAAATTAGTTATAAAATTAGAACACAAATAATGTCAGCAATTATGATTTAATCCTGAAATACTTCTCTTTGAAAGAAGCCAATAAGACAGACAAATCCACTAGTTTGCCATATTTAAATTTCACACTGTATTCTCATTTGTTTTGATATCTAACTCCTGATAGGTGAAGGAGCCTCTTTTTGTGGCCCTGTGTTAAGAAAGGCTTCAAGAAGAGAGATGTTACACACATATTTCAGCCTTTTGTGTCTCAATACATTAGAATTTGCATAGACCAAAGGTTTTGGCATTGAATTCAAATCCTTAGGTGTTGCGTTCTGATTATTTGAATTTATATTCTTTACATGGCTAAACTGTTTCATTTATAGGCTCTTCTGATTGTTCATGAGCATTTGTGGCTTGGATTTAATCCATTTTTTTTTTTTTACCTTTATCAAAGCTTGCCTTTCGACATTTCATTCAATCAGTTCATTTTCTTCCTGCCCATCTATCAATAAAAGCTGCAGGAGCAATTGTTATTTAATGAAAAGGTTTGAAACTCTGGAATGTTCTTTTAGAAACTTCTGTAAAGTTCAATCCTTCCCGGGATGGTGATCAGCAGATGTCAAATTATAAAACTCACTAGAACAGCTCAGATATTTAACACATATAAGTGATTTAATCTTCTAATTCCACCCCCCTGCCATGGGCAGGGCCACCTTCCACTACACCAGGTTGCTCACAAATAGTCTGTAGGAAATTTCTCATATTTCAGTTGGTATTTAATACCTAAAACCCCTGTCTATTTTTCACCAGCAGGTGCAGAAATTAGTTTTGAAAACAGCAAAGGAGCTGCAACTACAGAAAATTAACTTTGGGGCTCGTGATGAGCACAGAAGGGAGAAGACATGGCCTGCAGCAACAAATACTGCATACAACAACCCTCTATCTTCTTAAATGAGTGTGTTTCATTCCTCAGTAAGCAGCTCCTTCTTTTCTCAGCTGAGAAAGGATTAATCTCTGCTTAAGAAAACCAGGATTTCATTAAAAAGAAAAAAAAAAAAAAACTAAAAAATGAGGAGCCACTAGCAATATTTTGTTTTAACATTTCTGAAGTTTACCAAAGACATATATAAGTTGTCCCTTATAAATTTATAAGCTGCACAAATAAACTGATGCTTTTGTATAAAAAATATAGCTTAGTTTTGCTCCTTCCTGAGTAAAATATTCCAGCTTGACAAGCACAAGCACAAAATAGTATTAATATCCTCACACCATGACAAGATCATACATTTCTTCATTAAGTTTTCCTTCAGTCTGCTCAGACTTTGGTCATTTACTTTTTTTTTTTCTTTCTCATTAAAATGATCAGAGATCAAGACCTGGAATTCAGAAGGAGCTGTATTGAAAAATAAATTCCCTGCAGCCTCATTAAGGAGCAAAGGTGATCCCAATCACTCACCAGCAATTTGAAGAGGAGCAATATTCCAGGAGGCAGCTCCAGCCCAGCTCTCCTTGCCTTCCCCAATGTCTGGAGTATAAAGAGCCAGCCAGGGAAATCTGCATTTAAAAAAAGGACTGGAAAATGCATTGATTTATTTGCCTTCTTTTGACTATTAAATACTTTTTTCTTCCATTCCAGAGAGTTGAGTTGTTTAGCAAAATCTGTGATTTTATGCTCTGCATGTGCAGTATATTTTTCAGACCAGAGTG